TTTGACTGCATTGTAATCATCAAATAATAATATGTTTTGCTAACTGCTCTACTGATTCATTTGCATCAGTCGTTCTCCCGATGACATTTTAAAACCTTACCAATATCACTACCATCATCACATCAACAGTTGAGAACTGAAAGTCACTGAATGTGTGAATGTTTAATTCGCATTTTTTTTATTTATTATCATTCTTCTGTTTATTATCAGAATATTTGTGTGCATTACCGTACGATGCTGGAACGTCTGATGCAAATGGACTAATGAGCACACGTTTCTTCTACGATTCAAAGCTTCACAACTGCATGTTGTTCACCTATCTTGGTAAACTGGGTAATGCGAATAACTTCGTCGACTATAACGACTGTATTGCGTTTTGTAAATGAAGCATATCTCTTTTTACGTTTTCAATTCAATTCATCTTCATGATTACATTACTAACTTTGTCGGATTGTTGCCGTAAGTGAATGAATCGTACTCGATTTGAATTGATACTTCTATTGTTTCGCGTATTTGCAAGCGTATATTAGTTCCACCCAAACTTGCAAAAATCAAGCATATAGATAAAAAAATGCGAATTAAACATTCACACATTCAGTGACTTTTTATTACACGTCGTTTGTCAAAAAATATACATCAAAAATAAAAATAAAATCTAAGTCACTTTATTTGACTTTATCGTGTGTTCGCCACAAATGCAAAGTTGTAATATCACCAGAAAAGCGTTAAAAGCACATAAAATTATGTTACTATACAATAAATGCGAAAAAAAGTATATAAAATCCTATTGAAATACGTATATGTACAATAACCAATCTTTGCTGTCCCACGAAAGGTTTGACTGGATTGTAATCATCAAATAATAATATGTTTTGCTAACTGCTTTACTGAATCATTTGCATCAGTCGTTCTCCCGATAACATTTTAAAGCCTATCGGATTGTTGCCATAATACAGCACATTTGTCTTTTGATCAAATACAACACATTTGTCTTCTTTATACAGCATGGACAGGATCGCTTCATTCCGTTAGCAAGAAGTAGCGTAAGACTTGTATCGAAAAAGGTGGTGCAGTACTATCATTGATTCCGACAAGGTAACTGTTGCTAATTCACGGCCGAAGTCTTTTTTTTTGCTGTTGTCAACTTTCCGGACTCATTCAACAATTGTTCACTTCTTGTTCAATAAAATTAGCAAATAAAATAGCACAAGAAATTGAATACTGGAATGGACTTAACGCCGTATCATCAATACGCCAATACTTCTTGTTTCGTTCATTTTAAGAGTTATGTTGTCCTGACTGTTGCTCGAGGAGTGATGCAAAGCACTCCTCGAATTCTTCGTCGTCCATGGCACATTTAGCAAGTACGAAAGCTGTTCCCTACTATCACACAAGGAACTGATTTTTTTATGGTTTCTGATAGCTTTAAATAGTGAGATGTGAAAGGAATGGTCTCATTTCTGCTTCATAAAGCTAAGATTGTGAATTTAAAAACACAAAAACAGGCCCTGAGATCAAGATTAATATGCACGACCTCTACAGGCATCAAATTTAAATGGTTTTCTGTAATCCTCGACATTCAGGCGAATGAAGCATTTTGAGCATTGATCATTACCAATTCTGTTGCATCGTATAGTGTTCACACTAGTATTTGTCGGGAAGCAGTTTTTCGGATGGGGGAGGAACCCACCCCGCGGGGAGATAGCTGGACGGAGGTCCACGGCAAATAAAGTTGGGAAGCAAATTGCGCTGGAGATAGGAGCACTCCTCGCATTCCCCATCTGGGACCTCGTTCCCAGACGAACACTAGTTCACACTGTCTCCAATTTGTCTTTCTCTCTGCCTCTCCATTGAAATAAACCTCTCAACTGTTAGACGGATGTGGTGAGCGATATACGCGGTGCTTGTAACGAAAGCAGAGGGAAGTTGATGTGTGAGAGAGAGCCTTTTCTTTCGGACATGGAAAGATTTTTACTCATTTTTAGCGAGGTGGGAGCTCATCGACAGCAGTGCCGATATATTACCACTTCTGTTTTAACGTTTAAGCGTACAATCCCATATTTCCCAACATGGGCAGTATAGTCTACCATTGCACGAAAACGGTATTTAGAGTCTACGATATCGATAAGACAGAATAAGCGTCTCTGAATTATCGCAATGTTCCCTTCTTTGCCCCAAAATCGAACAACAAATATTGGTGTATAGGGAATGAGGGAAGATTTGGTGACGACCAGTCGAATAAGCTTGAAAAGCACTGATATGAGCATAAAGGTTCATTTCATTTCGAAATGAAATCTGATTGTGTTTTATGAATGACTTTTCATCAACAATGCACACAACAATTTTATTACATATACAATCAATTTGATGGATGGTTAAAGCATTGTCATCATACCAATATTGTAATCAGCTTACAAAAGCGATATGTGTTCACACAATAGTTATTTTAAAAACTAACACACTCATTGCAAATGCACTATGCGTATGTCTACGCATATCAAAATGTGAATATCATCTAATCCACCGTTCAAGTGGCACTAAAATTTTATATAAACGAAGTATAAAACAGCTCGTAAATAAATATTACGAGAATTGTCGAGTTAGAATACGCTCATTATTACATAAACTTGACTCCGAAAGCATGTGACCAGTTCAGAGTACAATAATATTGATAACGTAATAATAATAATGCATCGATAATAACGATAATTTCGCACTGAATTAAACTACAACAAAAACTATAACATACAAATATGTACATATGTTTCCTACACATTTATTTGAAAATCACATCGTAATAATAAGGCTCGAATAATAATTTAAGTGATTGACTTGAACAAATAAATAGCTTATACTACTGAACGAATGAATGTGCAATGAACGGAAGAGAAAATGAAAGGAAGGACCGATTCGTAACTCAATAATCACATGCACTCCTACCTAAAAATTCCACTACAAATGAATTTCAGCAAATGCTACCGTTCAAGTTAAAACGACGTGAATGAATACAAACAGTTAGCGTTTTTAGAGTATCAAAAAATATGGACGACGATGAACATCGATATGTGGATACAGGATAAAGCTCTTGAGGAAGTTTACTGGTAACCTGAATAAATGAATTGAAAACGATAGAATGAAAGGGTGGATGATAACAGTACAGATACAAGCTGTATTTGAAAGTTGAACACGTCCATATCATAAACACAAACAATATTTAGCATTCACAACACAATGAACTTGGAGACCTTAAAGATTTCGAATTAATCAAAAACGATCAATACCGAACCATCATAAATACATCGAAGAATTTTTATGAGACATATTCATTTTGGAGCTTACCTATCAGCGAAAATAACATACTTCAATTTTCACCTCGACGAGGCAATCTTTCCAAAGATTGACTGAAATCTCTGAGGAAAAAAATGAACCTCTTCAGAATCTAAAACACTTGACAGCTGTTTTAAAATTTATAACTTTCATTTCCATCCACCAACATGTTAACTGTCCGTTAAGTGAAACTACTACCAAAATAACATTTCCGTGATGAATATTCACCAAATCACGTTCAACAATGAATCAAGAACAAATTTATTGGAACTGGATGAATGAAAGACATCAAAGAACTAAGCAATTACTATTGTTAAAATTGGCACGAGGATGCGCAAACGAACAATAAAAAACATAACGATGAAAAAAAACAATCCGAGGAAATGAACCGTTCTTCACTCATCGAAACAACGAATCAATTAATGGAAGTGTTATCAACGGATGAAATGAATATACGCGTAATCAGATCAAAATCAAAGTAGCTGAATGAATCAATGAAAGAAATGCAAAAAATAATTACAACCATTAAGCATACACAACAATACATCAATCACATTTATCATCACAAATTCATACGGATAAAATTTTTGAAGAAATAAACCAATGAATATTACACGCTACAAATGAAGTAGATATCAATTCCATAAAGTTTAATGCATAAATATAATCACTAAATTAGGAAAGAAGAGCAGAATATTACCCGATTTGCCTACTGCTGCCTCTTTATCACAATGGCTCGTCTTTATGATATTCTTCTGTCATTCAACAACTGCAATTGATCACTGAATAATTGAAGTAATCAATTAATCGATCACTTTTCGTTCAGTATTTATTAAAAAATTTTGTTTGATTTCATCATGAACAATTTAAATTATCACCAAGTTTTCACAACGCAACCCTCCTCGCTCCCACTGAATAACAATTTTTGATTGAAACGTATCGAAAACATGTGCGTTCGCTATCGACAAAACCAACCAGCAACTAACAATCAATGTAAGTTCAATAATAACTAAATATTTTCAGTCTTTCATCAACATCTAATGCCAAAATTGTTCAATAATTCAGAAGATGAACCAACCGACTAAAAAAATTAGTGCTGTACATTATTGCTGTCAGTTGTCGCTATTGAGGATGATGTTGCTTCAGCAGAAAAAGCACATAAACCACGAGTAAGTACTTCAGTCCATCTGAATAAAATTTCAAATCAACCTTCACAAAAACTCAATGAAATAAACACAGAACCAAAATGATTCATATAAATCAACACGCCTCAATTCTCACACTCAACTGTTCAACAAAACAATAGAGCATAATTAGTGTAACGATCAAACATTCATATGGAATGCATTACTGATCAAACACCAACGCAATCACTACAAAACTAACTGTTCAGCGCTGCCAGCGTGTGCGACACGGAATGCGATTGAGAGAGCTTGGCCACCACCCTTGACTTGATTCGAATGACTCAATTCGAATAACACACCTCCTTCTTCCAACTGATTCGTTGTTAAATCGAATCCCATTAGCACATGACGAGCGCATGGCTCCGGATCCTTGAAAAACAACCAAAACTGCACACTTCATACTATCCGACAGCCAAGATTTAAACTTATAACTGATCATTATCTTCAGTCATCAACTATAACCATAGTAATAATAATAATGATAATAATAATGACAATATATCAGCCAAACTTTATCATTCAACAAACTAGTAATACCGAAAGGGTTCTGTTGAACACTTAAAATGATTGTCGCATGCTTCATTTAAACATGAAAATTATCAACAAGATATAATATTTTGAAATGAAATTGCATATTTAATCTGAATAAGAGAAACTGAAGTGTCTAACAAATTCAGCATTATAGAAGCACAGAACCATCGCACCATCAGCGTGTTGGAAAAGACGACCCCATTTCTGTGTCTCACCGAAACGTTTATTCCTGAAGATTGAAAGTGCCATCGTTTGACGATAAACATTACTACTCAATATAATCAGAACTATTTTATGAAGTTTACAAATAGAAAAATAATCGAACCTGACAAAGACGGTACCCGACACAATACCTTTTTGACCTCCATCAGAAACTTTTTTCTTTGAACGAAAACAACTGTTACTTGGTGCCGAGAAAATGCTCGGCGAGAAACTTCCACACCCTAGAAAATCGAGTGCTAGCTCTTACTGAATAGACATTCGTTTAAAAATTGGAAAAAAGCAACTATTTGAAAAGAAAAACGAATGAATTTTTAATCGAACAGCAAGTACAAGCATCACTTACATCTATTCATTATTTTTCCGTAACACTCAGGACATACTTTTTCCCGAATAAAATTTTCTGCACACCTCACAGGCGCGTACCCCACACAGCTGCCACATATCAACTGGAAAAAATTCTTCACTGATTCTTTTTTCACGTGAGCACTCTTTTCCAAATAATTTGTTTCTAGATTGCTTATATTGTTGAAATTAAATACACATAAACATAGATTATTCTTCAGAAATGCATAATTAATTCTCGCATGACACTAACAAGAGAACTAATGCAAACAATGAACAAAAACTGATGAGTGCACTTCACTGACCGCTCCACATTCACGACAATGGTGCCTTCGATTGAGTATACTGAATTTTGTATTACAACCGGACATCATACACGTAGTTGCTTTAGGGTCAGGAACCCATGGTGCCACATACTTTTCATGCACAGTGACCAGTGTTGGTGAAGCTTCATTATCAGATGTTTCTTTGTCTAATGATTTATTGGCAGTTGGCGTTATTGTTGCCGATGTTGATGAGTCTACTTCCGAACATAACGATTCGCCTGCCTGACAAACAATAAGAGAATGGAGCTGAAGGGAAGATGTATTGGAAAATGAATTTCTAAATGAAAATGACTGAGAATTTGAACTGTAACTTGTAATAAGAATTGAAAGTTTGTAATCGTGCTCAGAAGATTCCAGTGCTAAAGTACACGACTGAGTATTACATAAAAGAACAACGAATTAAACAGAATAATGTATACAAACTTTAACATTTCGACCAACTGGAATACGTTTTAAACGTTTTGCCTCTCGTTTTGCATTGTTCAGTCGTTTTACCCAATCGTCTCGCTCATGTTTGTTCCTTCAAAATGTATTGATGATAAACGACTGNAAATAAGTCTCAGAAGCGCGAACTACAAATCATAATGCCACAAATGAGATGCGTTTCAAGCGCTCACTCCGTTACTCAACCATTCTCTTTCTCTCAGAGTTACATTATCGCATTAAAGCGTTGTATTCATTATCAAATTCGATCACTTTTTCACCAAATCAACCAATAAATACTAAATAGTGAAACAGACACTTAGATACAACCGAGTAACAGTTTTGTTGGATAGAAAGGAACACAGGTGCTTATATATACAGAAAAATTCATTCATTGACCTCGCAATAAAGACGGCACTTTTTTTGGTGCTCAATAACTGAAAATGAGTGTCATATTCCCCATGCTCTTCGGCTTTCACACGAACGCTGAGAATTGGAAACTGGTAGAAATCAGCTTGAAAGCCTACTTCCGAACCGAGAGTCGGCGTTCTTGAATATTTACAAATGAGCAGGACGTCAGAAAACTGCAAAAAAGCAGCAAATTCGAAAAAAGTAGACTGGCATTAAAATACGATAGCAATGATCGTGATGAAGCCAAATATTAGCGAACAAAACTGCTTAAATAATTTTATAAATAACATCTGAAATGAATCTATTACAGAAACAGCACAAATTCATATCATGGAATGATGAATTTTAAGAAAATTTTTCATTCTAATGGGAAGCGATGCATGCAGATTCTCGCTATAGTAGAATACTCTTCAATCAATAATGGATGCATATACATATAGATTGCACCTTCACTGTTTAATCTACACAACATCTACTGATTCGAATGAAAAAATATATGCTGGATAAAAAGAAAAGAAGTCACGAATCAACGAACAAGTATGAGATATCTGGGTTGAATATCTTTGCGAGATTGCTTCATTAGTTCACCTTCGTGCAACAAATGCCTGTTCGCTTCGAATACATTAAAACGGCTCTGAAATAAAATCATGAACACTGGAAATCATCGGAAACATGAGAATAATTCATCCACCTATCTAAATCATATACTAGATTTACTCATTGGACAAAAATCAAAAAAGTGTAACGACAATGATAAAAGTGGAAACAACCTCAAGTCGACGATAAAGTTGAACGAGCCTCTCTTCCATTATTGCATGACTCATCCGTTCATTAACAACTTCAGAGACCTTTGCAAGTTCCTTTATTGCACCTTTAACAAATATTCGTTCAACTTGTTTCAGTAAGTTTTTGAATTTGTTTTGCAGGTTAGCCCTGTTATTATTCCTTCAGTTTGACTGTAATTTTTCAAAAACATCCGCTGATGGAATTGGATTGGGAGAGAAGATGAGAGAGGAATGCAAATGGATGCGGGATAAACGAATCATAAGAAGCTGAAAACATACTACGAAGAAAATGAGATGAACTGATTTGAAGGAAAACGAAAAGAAACGAACGAACATTGGCATTCGTTGAATTCATGTGAATCGGGAATGAGGTATTTCCTGTAGGCCTCTAGTAAAATATTATATCGAACAACATTTTGATGCACAATATCAAGTCGTTGGATAATCGAAATTTGATGACTTGTTTCTGCTTCAAACTGCAATCAACAACAATGCTATCGTAAGGCATTCGCAGAGAATAAAAATATTATGGCACCGTTGTAGCATCAAATTTAGTGATTGAAAAAGTCTTGGCTCAATTAGAATGGAAGATTATATTCATATCCTCCAGACAACAAACATGAACGCAATCACCTTAGATGTGGCTTGAGCGAGAATTTCGTTTGCTTGAAGTAGATTCTTAAGGTCGTCAGCGAATTTTTTCTTTTGAAGCAAATATGGGAGACAAAATTTCAAAAAAGCCGCATTATTCTTCAATACTTCCGCAAGATCTGGCCTTCGAGAATCCCTCAAAATGATATGAGAACAAGTTTACATAACAATGAAATAAAGAAAATAACAAGGTGTTTTTACGCATGACATTTTGCTTCACAAGAAACATTTTGTCACAACTCTTTCAATTAAAACTTTGTCAACTGAAAGTCAAAATTCTAAAAAAAGCAAACGAACCAATTCGAAAGTTTAGTGGAGAATTTCTCAAGAAGAACGCTGTGTGCTCCTTTTAACATTTGCAGTTGTGTTGAAATAGAAGAAATCACCTTTGCTTGATCGTTTAGTAAATCCACTCCATACGATTTTCCGTATTCACTCAGAAATTTTGGGTACTGCTGCAAGTAAAAATGTTGCTTTTTTCAACCAACAAATACACACCAAACGCTTCTTGGATAGACAAATGACTAAGACTATTTCGTTAATTGATAAGAGCCGATTAATACTTGTCTATTAATCAACTGAAAGATACTTACCACAGCAAGAATATCAAGTTGTTCGACAAATTTCTTTTCAACAGTATAAATTTCGTACGCCGCGTAATGAAGTTTTTTCAGTCGGATATCCTTAAATTACCAAATCTTGTAACGGATTATTTATTACTTTCATTAGATTAGAAGAACAATTTCAGCGCTTACACTGTCACAAATTTTGCATTACGAGAATAAAAGTCAGTCAACTGGGCAATTAATCTTAAGGTAAGAACATGAATGGGTGTATTTCACTTTGTAGTAAGCTATTAACAACACACCTCAGCCCGATCGCCTGTTGAATAAACGATCGTATCGCTTAAACGATGATCTGTCGTTACATCGCTAATAGAACTTATCGTACTCATACGACGTGAATCAAACCCATCACCTGACGAAGATTGCGGTACAATTTTATCGGTTGCATCACTTTTATGTCGTATTTTTACCACATTGTCCACATCTTCTGCTGTCAGCGGTTGACTTTTCACTTCTCGATTCTTTAGTAATGACATTACAATGAATAGGTTTCAAAAATTGACGTGATCCAAATAAACAGTTTAAAATAACTGTTTCAACCGTTCATCAAAACCCATGAAACGAATGAAAAAAGACGGAAACAACCGAAATGTCCATTCAATATGATACCTTTCTGGGAAGATGTGGTCGACTCGAAACAAGTCTTCCAACTGAAAGAGTTTTTCCACGCATTTGCGGCGAATCGGACTTTCTAAACATTCACAGATATAACTGAAGCATAAAACGAACAGCTAATTTGAATGAAAACAGCCTCACTGGAAACAAAAATTCTTCCAAATGGAAATTTGCGATGAGGCTGGGAATGCAAAAATGCATATAAAGAATCAATTCAGTAGTTTAGATCAACAACCGATGCGGACTCCGAGAAAGGAACCGCTTACTGCTGATGCAATCTGAATTCAACAGTAAATTAAAACTAATAATGAGTCATAACCAACAATTATTTAATCCTATAATATCTAAATAAGTAAAAATCGCAACCTCAACTCATTCTTTTGAAACATTTCGCTGCTCCTCAGCTCTTCAATAGCGCTCTCATACTGATTGCTACCGAAAATAGGAGATTTCCTGATTGGTCTGAAACGAAACTGAACAAAATTTAGAATTCGAATGCATTAGTGTTTTAGAAACCCACTTAATATCTTTTCATGAAGTGGTCTCATCAATCACTGATCGGGCATGAAACGTGGTCCAATGATGAATAACAGATATTCGATAAAAATATTCTTTGATGACTTAAATGAACACCAACCGAAACGAATTAGCATCTTCGAAAGACGTATCCCTTTCAAGCAAAGTTTCCTCATCTTGTAGGTCAGATAAATCATTATAACTATTCGTTTCAGTATCGCTTGACATCGATGAAGCATCATATCTCAAATCGCTCCACGAGGCTTCGGATGACGGTCTCCCAACTCTAAACTATCATTCATCATATTATCCGTCACCTTTGCTACCCATAATTACCCAGTGAGATCATAACTTTTAAACGTATAAAAACTGGAGAAGATAGCATTTGAACAAGTACCATTAACACGAGAAATGTTTCTCATCGGGAATCAAGAATGAATAAAACCCTTATGACTCACAAGTTATTTTCTTGAGGGGACACGATTGTACTGGATGAATAGGAATCTCGGGACGTAGCGCCAGGTGCACGGATTTGGCCACTCGATATGAGATTATCGAAATGAGCTATAGTACTTTTAACACTTGTCGGTGTTTTTGAGCCTGATTGCTCCTTATCAACTGTACATCTGTAATCTATTTGTTAGCAACGATGAATATTACACATTTTGTTTTAATTATTGCTATTTTTACTTTTTCATTCATTCCGTCTAAAAAACTGACAACAAATAAGATTGCCATCAAATGATGGCAGATGGTTAGAATAAGCATCATCGTGACAGATGAAATCAGTAAAACAAATTATATTAATGATAATGAGTACTTACTGTTCATTATTCAAAAATGAACTTCTCGCTGAAATTGCACTCCAATTCACATAATCACTCTCTGTTGATACACTTGATTCGAAACTTTTATTAACGTGACTTGAACATGTTGCATCGCCTGTTTCAAAACGTGGTGGTGCATTCTCATTCATGCCAGCAACCTTTAATCAAATTTTTTTAAAACTATTGTCGAACATTTTAGTGCTGATTATCTCTTGTAGCACAATTAGAACGATTAGTAATAATTTAATTCCTCCCTCCTTAAAATAATTCTATTCGACGCTTTGTAAAGAGGACGTTATTCCGGCTACTGCAACACGTTGCGCGTTTCTATCCTACGCTTTTGTGGTCTTTACATTCTCTCATTTCTTTTTTAATTCGGAATCCATGCTCTTTTGCACACTTTATATTTATGAACATACAAAGTGAACAATGCAATGCTGGCATGGAATATTTGTCGGTAATACCGCAGGTAAAGGAAGGAGGGGGGCGCAGGGAGCGCCCACCCTCTCGGCCCACCATGCAGAGGAATTTACAGTTCCAGCGCGTGCAATCACGAGGGGATTCGATTCCTTGAATAGAATCCTCTAAGCAGGGGATTTCGAAGCTACTGCTCCTCACCGTATACCTTCTACCAGGAGGAATATAATTTTTAAAAAATTTTTGGGATGCTTTTCCGCACATTATTTGTCATAGGAGGACGAAAAATCTGATTGCTGTATCAATCTACGGCTTGGAGTAGTCTACGCAACTGAATGATTTGATGTGCAGTGGAATGTGAATTAGATTAGATGGACTGATAAAGGCTCATTTTGGGGTTTACAAACTCGGAAGAAGAATTATTATTATTGGTACAATATTTGTTCAGCTCTTTGTTTATTACTGCTATTACGATTTTGATAGAGACTTATAATCAGATAAAAAATATATCGTGAATAATTACTGATAACTTGTTACGAGGCTTTGGCGCTATCGGAGGTTTCTGAGCATTGGAACGCTTCCTCACCACTTCACTAGACGTACAGTCCAAGTGAGCGGTGAGTGTCGGAATTGCTTTCGATGCGCCTTAAAACATTTTTTACTTTCTATTAATTACAAAATATCGAGCATTTCCAGAATCTGAAGGGGCATTCACTATCTGAGTAATGCAAAGTTCAACTCAATTTTTTATGATAATGATGATAACAATAATCTCAAGTTTTTGTTTAAATGATTGACTAAATTTTGGTGAGATAAATGAATGAAGGACACTGGTAGTAATAAACGAACATTCGTCAGCAGATGGATTACGCACAGACGTGGTATCACAGAACTCCGTACGTTCCAAACGTTTACGAATTTCATTAATATTCACACCGGATGGACACGATTTATTGCCTTCATACATTAGCAACTGCGTGTCGAACAACCAACTTCGTCAATTAAAACAAAACGAGAAATGCAATCGAAGAGTCTAAAAATAAGACATAAATGCTGTATAATCTTAAAATATGCAAAACACTTTTCTCGAATATGTGAATGTTCAAATATTTGATTGCTAAGTAGTTACACGATTAAATTTCTATGCAATAAACAGAATATGCAATAAAAATATGAATCCAATCACTGAGCACAAATCCTCAAGCTTAAATAATGCTTTCAACAAAACTGACCGAAACTCATACCATCTCTGTTGTTATGATGCATGATATTTGATCGCGCACTGAGTGTGACCCATATGCCAATTGGCATACGTTCAATTTTAGGAAATATAAAATGGAAAATTATATGCGAAATAGCAGAATAAATAATGAACAGTTATATGGCAAACGTGCCAACTCGGAACTTATGCACTACCCTGAACCTAAAGCTAGGGCCCTGGGTACATCACATGGCAATCTGGTTTATTGAATTTAACCTCGCATGCCTCGCTAACGGAGTAAGTGAACGGACTTTGATGTCGTTCGTGTAGCTTCCCAATAATTTCACTTTTTAACTGGACAGATCTCAACCTTTGCGTTTGGAGAAATGATTTCGAATGTTCAAAAAAATTCAGCCAAAGATTTGCTCGATCGTTTTGATCGTCTCGTCGATTTTCTGATCGACATCCATCACACTTCCCCCTCCTCTCCCCACCCCTCAATAAGCTGATCCCTGATGGAAGCCAACTGTTAGAGAACTCAATCCTTTTTCTAATGAACCTTATGGCATTGGCCGTTTAAAATTGTCTTATACTACTTTTCCCATATTAATTAGTGGCAGCATTAGTACTTCATGGTTATTCCGGTATTCAAGAATCACGTTTTCGAAAACCACACGTTGGTTCTTTGAGAAAATCTGTTGGCTGAGAGAAAATCCAATTTTTTTGGAGTGGATTTTTCGACCTATCTTTGACACCGGCCGTCTAATGTTTCGTTCGCATGCTATTTCCACTGCAGTTATCATTACATAATGTTCACCATGTGTATTTCGCTCTTCTAGCGAAAACACTTCCGCATGCCAACACGTTGCACCACCGTTGAAAACACAAAATTTCGAACGGACAAGATAGGAGCTGTAAGAAAAGGAACAAATAGCATATTCTGTTTGTACCGTAGGACAATGCGATCATAAATGAATCGCTCACATTGGAACGTTCACGTTCATATGCAGCTGACTGGATATATCGATAAGTTAGTGGAAGAAGGTTGTTTGAGAAGATCTTAGTTGTGTTTTCATGACATAACTGTTGCGTTGCGTTGCGTTCATTGTACGATTGTGATCTGCTTTGTTCGAATTCCGATCGTATGTCATCGTCGCAATTTCGTATCGTGTCTTAGTGCATTTCTGTAAGGTTTTATCGTTTCTGTATTCACTTTTTGGTGATTATTTGTTCAGAATCGACAAGGATGGGTGGCGACGATAGCAACGAGCCACTGAAGGCCACCTACAGAACTGATCGACCACCGTGGATTGGCCTTTGGAGCGGTCGTGAATAGTTAGTTGATATAATGTGACATGTTTTATTCCCTTCGAGTTTAAGCCGATTTGGAGATCCCTCATTTCAGCTGATCAATATCTTTTCTTTGATTCAAATTCGTTTATAATTTACTGAACATTGATTTTTTTTNTTTTTTTTGTGAATTTTTAGCAAAGGGCGAAAAGAATGGTGGGGAGAACTGGGACATAAAGATGAAGTTGTGCAAAACGGTAAATTCCGAATGTTGAGAGCACGATTTCGAGAAGAAGATCCGGATTGGTAAGTCAACACTTTCTCAATGTGCTATTGAAAAGTTTTTTTTTTTTCGAATCTGAATGAGATTTTTTTCTTTTCATTTATTTATTACGTTTTGCAGTAGATCTTATGCAACCTGTATGCTCGTATTGGTTTATGAATGCCGCAAAAATTATGTGCAAGCATCATTTAGATTGAACGTGCAATTTGCATTCAGTAAAACATGTTCAGCATTTCAACAATTTTATTGAGAATAATTAATTGTAATGTACTGATAAAAGTGTTAAAGTGATTGACCTAGTTACGTAAATAAAACTTTCAAACAATGATGCCGGTATGAACTTTGACATTTTCTATGTCGTGTTTTTTATGTTCATAGTTTAAAATATTATTTGCATATGTATTGGGAGCGAATCTTCAGGTGGGATCCGAAGGTTCCTGATGGGACTTCGTTGGCTGGACCGTTCGGTTTGGATTCAAAGAAGCATCCGAATTTAACATCGAAAGGTGACCAACCTGGACCACTCCCGGAATTTCAGGACAAAGTATATTGTTGAATATTTCTATTCTCGAACAATGCATGGCTTATAAAAGTGGTTTGGGCTTGTTACGCGATTGAAAAAAGGGCTTGATAAGCATTTTGGTTCATTATTTATTGGAGTCGGGATGATGATTTAATTCTGTTTTCCATGCCAGCCAACTTCCCAAATAATTTAATAAATATGTCAATTCAAAAGTGGCACTGTTCTCTTTAAAAACAATTTCTTTGCTACTTAAATATCAAAACTGACCTATCATTTAATGCATGTTTGTTTGTTCAATGTTGTTATATATTCAGGTCTATAAAGGCTCACATCAGTATAAAGCAATCGCGGAAAAATATGATTTAAGCAAAGAACACCCGGGACTCGCGATCAGTCCAACGCTCTCTGAACTCGTTTACACGCCTAAGGTTTTTCGCTGTCTCTCTACTACGTTTGAAAACAGCTCTTTGTTTGTTATGGTTTATATGAACAGTTCATGTCTCACTGAAAATCATCTTCAACTTATAACATTTTGATAAAGGAAGCGAATTCTGAAATGTTTAAATCAATAAAGGTAACTGATGATTTTCTCATCATCACATCATGTGAAATATTTTTACAGTATATGCTTGGAAGGAATGCAATAATTCCAAATAGATGGTATCATTATGGACCAAGATTCTTCGATAAGCCACTCAATGAAGGAACGTTCGAAAAGGGTCTTGCGTGTGCCAAGTATACAGCAATTCTACGTATGTGATCGTTTGCGTATTTCATAACCATCGGCTCAATTCATCATTTCTGCTACGTATCGTTTCAGCATGGATTCAATTGATTGAAGCTGAATGAAAATCAATCCAGTTTTTGAGCAGTTATTCTTTTATTCAGATACAATGAGCAACCGCAGATTTCATATTTGTTATTCAGTTTATAGTGTTTAATTAAAAGCATTCATTAATAAGACTTGATTGTATCTAAATACGAATCATTTATTCATGTGTATGTGTGAATTCAGTTGGCCCGTACACGATGCTCGATATCCGCGCAACAAATTCAGTGACGTTGAAAGACTTCACACCACGTAACTTCATGAAACGATATTTCCAACTAGCTCCCATACCTTGTAAGTGATGATAATTCCAATTCCTTTCTTTTTTTTCTCATTTTCGTACCTTTCCTCGTATGTTCGATGACCTCAGCTGTACAGATTTCTGATGATATACTCTGATTCGAATGAATTCAGTGGCTGTTACGTTCACTTGGGGAGTGGCATTATCAACAGCAGCAACAATTCGTCATAAAGACGACGTTTACAATCATTTATATTCTTCGGCAGCTGTTGGTACCGTACTTGCTGCTATGAGTAAGTATTAAAAACTTGTTTATTCTATGAGCATCTGACCATGTTGCTTTGAAAGTTTGCATTTTAACGCCCTATAGTAAAGTAAGGCGTTAGAAATATTCATCAATCGGCTATTGATCCATGTCATTAGTTGTCATAAACGTGTTAGTGAAAAGTGTGGATTCATCAAAAAATGAGTGTGAACTTTCTTGAAGCGTTAATGTAGTATAGAAGTCATGGAGTATTCATTCTGTTGAAAGGCATTAAACTGCGAAATTTATTTTCTTATATGTGCTTTTTTTTAGTGTGGCGAGGTACAGACTGCGTTATTTGTAGAAAATTGTTGATAATTTTTTGTCATCCTCCTTCACGGAAGCATTTATTGAAATGGAAATGTGTTAAATTAATTGCAGAAAACAATTTCGCTATTGGTGTGACCGCAGCGATAGTCTCCTTGGTGTTGGGTAACTTCTGGCAGTACGCCAGAGTTTCGGAGACTGGTCTACAGACGATGACGGCTCACCAACAATCCGCAGGTATTTGGGGTGGTCCGCTTGCATGGAAGTGGTTCCGTAAAGGTGATGTCGACGTACCGAACACGCAGTATTGATCACCCAAAATGCATCGTTTCCCTGTGATTATGTTTAGGCCGACTTAAATGTATAGTTATTAATGACAAATATCACATGCACAAATTCGTGTACTAAATCTGTGAACATCTTTTATATTTAATTTCCTCAAATAAAAGAACACTTCGTAAGGCGTTGTTCATATTCCTCATTCAATATCAAATTGCTGAATAAATTTCGATAGAAATTTAACAATACCCATTAAGTAATCGTATTAACGGGTGATTACTGTTAATGATGTTATATTTCTCGTTGAAGTGAATGAATTAGACCTTTGTGTTTCATCGTATATTATAGAAAGTAAATAAAAATGTTTTATGAGAATATTTGTGGCTTAGAGTGAGCAACATTTAAGTTATCGACAAATATGCGTCGTATGTTCTCCACAGTGCTTCATTTGATGTGTTGATTGTTGAGTGAGAAATTTTCTGATTTCATTTAAGGTAGATTAATTTCACGCATTTTCTAATTTATTTTCATTTTGAAAGTTCGCTGAAAAATCGGTTGGAATTGATGGATGAACAGATGAAACATGGCTAATTACCTGGGTATTAGCTACAGGTGAGAGATTGTACAGTAGAAGAGCAATCAATTAGTCATCTATCAGTGAGAAACTTCTAAATGTAATTGTAATATTTATTCAAAGTGGAGCCGATTTAGGTTTGAAACAACTTGCGCAAGGTTATGAATTGGTTGAGAATAATAGAACGAACTGTTGCAATTGAATACAGCGAAATTCCAATGCGGATATACTTAATTTCGATTGATTCATACAGTTGTACGACTCGGAAACAAATGATGAGAACGTGTAGTACTGTTATAATCCATCAGAAAATCCACTGAAATTTGTATGAAGCGAATTGAATGCTTACCTTGAAAAATTCATATTATGAGTCATTGCAAACTGCTGAGCAACAAAATGGTACTGCGCATATCTATTTCACAATACGTTGCTCATGGCAACAAAACGCCTTGTACTTTTAGCTAGGTATAAACATTGGTGGGTGAGAGGTATTAATGTCACATCATCGAAATGTGTATCGGTGTTGTCTGTATGGTTTTATGGCTTGGAATTGTGGTGATTTTTGTATCGGTCATGCAAATGCATGTTACGTTCGTTAATGCTTCTGTCGTTCCTAACTGTAAGTGGTATCAGCAGAATATCTCAGGTAAAGAAATTATTTAACGCATTCCAATAATTCAAGTGAATCGCATGCTTTTCTTTCATTGTCAGCGATTCAGTTCAGTTGCTGCGGAATTTTACGATTGGTTTAAAAATTAATTGATGCGTAAAAAAGATTCATTGTTGAATTGTCAACGAGATAATGCAACTGTGTGAACGATGCGATGGATCGGATAAGTGAATCATGAATAATGAAAATGGAAATTTTCAGATAAAAGTTTGACAAACGGTCATTTTGAAACACTTGAAAATTGTATCTACTATTATTTAGCAGATCGTGTAAAAGAGACAACACGAGATGCAAGGAAGTGAGTTTAGCGATATTGCACATGAAATTTGCAACAAAAAAAAACCATGTTCTTCGTTTAGTAGGACGAATGCTGACAGATTCAAAACTGATCTCAACACTGTGCTTTTCTCAAAAGAGATATCGCAAACTGAGCGTAATCATTTGAAAAAATTTGAAACTTCTTATCCAGTGTTTGAGAAGCTTATGAAACCAAAAACCAATCGCATTATTCGTTGATCAAGAACATGAAACCATTCATATAATAGTATGAAGTTTAATGCGTATTTTGCAATTCCCTTTTCATATCTTTCGAATCAGTTCAAACTTATTCAGATGGATTGTTCCATTTCATTCAGGTGAAGATACAATACATTCAGAATCTGGTAGTTATCGTAAGAACTGAAAATGCGATATTCATCGGTTTTCTTGCAGAATCTATTTGGAATCACCTGTAAAAAACGATGACATTCTTGTCTTGACACTCGATCATCTTACAATTCGACATGTAGAATTGGTAACGACTATTTATTTATTATTTTTGTATCCAACTTTACTGATCTACTAAAATTGCACTTTCCTTTTGTTATTGTTGCTTCTCTCATTATAATTATTATTGTTCGCATTGTTTTGTCGATAAGATTATCACCGTAACCGTGGCTGTTTTAAGTTTCTCCTCATTTCGTAACAAAATGCTGCGAAGATAACTTCCCCCTTCATCAGCTATCAAGTCAAAAGGAACTTGGTGAAGTGATATGAAAAACTGTGATGGTTTAGGAGCTGAATGCATTTTTTCTTATTCCAATTAAAAAAGGAAAGGAGATGCCGTCGTGCGCTCCAAAAATGTTGCCACAAAATGTATAGACCAGTGGTTCTCACGCTCGGGTGCTCCGTTACTCCCTTCGATGGTCTGGCGGGCCGTCAATACCCCTCTCCTCTTTCGCATAAGAACTTACTATTTCCGCGCATAACCTCAAGAGCAAATGAAAAGCCGATCCGAAAAATTCTCAGCGGCGTGAAAGAAACAAATTTTCTGGAATGAAACAATTATTTTCAAGAATTCATTTATGAGCTGCAGAACAATATAAACCTCGGCATTTAACTATAAAGAACAATGAAAAAACCTTCGTCAGCATTTAAAGATAAAAAATATATCAACAATTTCAGTTATTCAAGAAAGCAGAAGATGCAATGAAAATTTGAGAAATAATCCTCGAGATGAACGGAAAAGCAATCGTTTTATCAAAGTGATAATTAAGGAATAAGTAAAAATTCATCAACTGGTGAAAATAAATTCGAACTATCGAGGGTTTTGGGATACAACAAGTGCATAAAGTCTGAAGTAGACAAAAATCTAAGCAAAAATCCCATTGTATGCAGTAATTAGAAAAACTTCTCAGTCAGTGAATTCAAAAGTACTCGCTCGTTTCGCACCAAACCAATGCTCTTTTCTGCCGTATCAAACAGCTCAATGGATTCCTACTGCTTATGAAAGACGATAGCAGCCATTATATCAATGACCTTACAATATACTTGTGACTACTTTAAACTGACTTTTGTTCAAACCAAGGCGAGCCCAAGATACTCAGAAAATAGGATAAGGAAGATTGTTGCTATGAGCGAACCACGTGTACATAACCAAGTGAAGAAACACTGTTACAGTGGCGTTCCATCATAATATAATAACTGCACGAAATACTAATTTCTCGATCCCCTCTATTACTCCCTGACACCACAAAATTACTCCTGAGAGGGTAATTCCTCCCCTATGAGAAACTCTGGTAAAAACTTTAAAAAGAGAGCGGAAAAGAACAGCATTCCTGGGCCATTAATAGATGTATTTACTGTTCGTCGGGGAACGGGGTACCCGTCGGGGACCCCGGCGGGGAACGCGGGGAGCGCTCCCCTCCCCGCGCAATTTGCCCCCCGACTTTTTTGCGAGGACCCTCCCNTTTCAATATTGTCTTGTTTTTTGTTTTGAAATGTGAGTATAAGGTGCACTTGAAAGAGAACTACTTAAAAAAAAAGAAGAAAAATCTTTAAAAAATTGAAATTTTGTTTAAAAAATTGAGCTGAAATGCTCCCCGTCAGGGAACACGGGGAGCGGTCATTCCCCGACGGGGTCCCCCCCGCGCAATTTGCTCCCCAACTTTTTCGCGGGGACCCCTCCCCCCGTCCAATTTACTCCCCGCGGGGACCACCCCCGTGCAAAAAATTGCTCCCCGACGAACACTAGATGTATTTGTTTGATCATAACGCCATTGGTCATTGCACCAGCTGCTGCGAGCATTGTCTCATTCACGTATCAATTCATGCAATGAACATTATCATACCGTCATCTTGACAGTTGACGAGTTCTCCTGGTTTTCTTAGTTCGGCATAATTCCATGTCAAGAACAGAATTATGTGACAATGATCAACCATTTATTTGCTCTGCTAGCTGGCACAAAAAGTTTAGTGGCATTTTGGACGCAAGACCATCTTAATACGATCTGCATGTGGTTATTCAGATATCTGCACATAAATGAATATTGAGTCATAAACTGAAACGAGTATGTGTTATAATACACGGAAAAACTTACAGGATGAGAAAACCTCAACGCAATTCAACATCTACGGAACATTTTATTTGGTATGTTCGGATCCTTATTCAATTTTCCTGTTCATTTTTTTCTTTGTTTTTAGATTTCCCTCATCTGAAGCGTTCATAAACGAGCAAAATTTAGCGCAGAATCATTTCTGATTTTTTTTGCTTCGCTAAAACAGAAACTGTAGTAGTAATTGACACAGTTTTTACACCACATTTGTTAAATGCATTCCGCAATTGACTGCAAACAGCGGTTCATGTATGTGCAATCTCTAACATTTAAGATCCCTTCTAATCATTGAAATCGCTACCTTTCCTCAGCTGAATTTTGGGCATGTTTGTAGTCATTGAGTTCGGCAAACGCTTCAAAATTAGTAGGAATGATGACCAATTGATTCATTTTAGTCGTGGTCAGATCCAAGATTGGAATGGAATAATGAGGAATGGAAAATGAACGAATTCATGTTACATGACAGTCACCATATATGGATACCAACACTCACCGATGAATCTTACTCCGGGCTTGTGCTACTTTTAATTTCAATATAATTATTCATTAAGCAGTTGAATCTATATGGAATATAAAATGGGTTTTCAGCAATAGTTGCAGTACGGCAGAGGGCTGTTGGACAACGCTTCATCAAGTTGATATTTTCTCCACTGGCAAAGTCTCTGCAGTTTTTCATTTTCGCTATCCATCGTTTTGCGTAATCGACTATTACAGGTTTGATATAATTATGGTATTCGAAGTGTTCAGTTGATTTGTTAATGACGAGTCCAGATTCGCTCCTACGTGCATTACACTCAACAAATCTTAAAAGCTCTTTCATAATACCCTGAGATCGACTAACATTTTTGAGTCGACGTTTTGTGCGCAAGTTGCTGTATAAATACTAACTCATCTGGAGTAGATAACTTGTTATAAATGAGAATTTTTGCTATAAATGAAAATCAATTGCTATCCGTGTAGATATCCAGAAGAGGAAAATGACTGTTGTTTGTTTTTTTCTGCGGGTGATTATGATCAACTGGTGAAATTCGACATAAAAACAGAAAGCAAAATATCTGTTGGTCAAGCAGTTCGTATACCAGCTGCAAACAATCGTATGTTGCAGTCAGATCAAGAGCATTCAGCTTGGATCGTTGAGGTCAGTGAACATACGTCTATCAATGTGCTTCATCTTTATCTTGATGAAGAACTTTTCAGAAGCATTACATGCAAGAACAATTACGCAACATCTATAAACATTATTTCCATCTATTAAAAGCATAATATGTTTAACAGAAACAACCACTATGTTCACTCACCTCCATCCTGTGTTTATTTACTGTGATGCTGTATATCTCGTATATCATCCCTTCTCGATCTTCCAGCATCTAGCTTCTTGTCGAGTGGTCGTTTCGGTTAATGATTTATATAAGCACTGCTATTAATGTGTATTTCTCATGCAGATAAAATATTAATAAAGAATTAAAGCAACGAACAGTGGACGTGGTTAAGATGGGTGGTATTCGTGCACAACTGCTACGGATTTGCTTACATGCACAGAAACGTATGGGTACATTACGTATGGCGTTACGCCTTCCGGTTACGATCGCCACAATGCTTATGCTTGTTTCACCGTTATTCGGTGATCTACGAACGCAAGTATTCGTCAAATTAATCACTCTTCTACTACAAACACTTTGTTTCCTCTTTCTGTGCTCGCTGGCACCGCAAAACGGATTCGCTGGCACAAAACCGAAAATATGTTAGTTTATGATAACATTAGTGCTGAATTTATTATGAACATTTATCACTTCAACCCTTTCATACGTGTGTTATAAACNGTGCGAATATCATGCATAAAGACAGTCGATGGATTTGGTACACGGTGACTGCTTAAGATCAACAGATAAGCCAGTTGATGGACATGAAATAAAATCAAAATTTTCCTAACTTCTCGATTTATTCAGACACATTTTTTGAGACTGTCTTCATCCTAACATTACTGAGTGTTGTGATCACTGTCGTTGCAATGGCGCTGAGTCGAGTCAAACGTACAGTACCACCGATTCATAATATTTTCTTAACTGCAAAAATGATCAACCGATTCGTTTGTTGTATTGGTTCGTTGATTCGTTTATTCTTGGGGATGAGTGTCATCACTTTTTGAACGTGATCAGTATTGTAGTCCAATGAATTTCTTTTCAAGCGACTTGTTCGAACCTTGTTATTTCTCGTTGATTCACTTGACGCGGTGAATATTAGATCATCGACAGAAGTTGTTTCGTTAGAATGCAAACCGAGATTGACGTTTTTGCAACTTGAGTTCGTTTTAAATATAAAAGTTTTGTTGACGAGCAATTATAGAACGATTAAGAATGCTCTTGCAGCATCCTTATTCATTTGTAAAATACCCTTTGAGAACCTCTCATTCTTTTAGAACCAGAAGCAGGTGTTTCGTACCAACGTCATATCGATGATCAATCAACAACGCCAGCCACAAATTATGAAACGAGACAACCAGACTATACGCTTGAATGGAGACATATTTTTATAGCCGCAAACAACTTATTTTCGGGCGTTTCATTCACAGTTTTCATCTTTGTTGCTGCATTTGATATTCTCTAATTACTCATCGGTTTGCAAATGGGGCATCTTCTAGTGGTTAATGTCATTTTCTTTTCTGAGCGTTTTTTTCTAATAAAACACAGTATAAAAATATTAAGCTCTATACTGATACAATTTCTCTGTTAATGTGGTTGAGGGAAATTTGTAAAGACTGTAAAAAGTTACGATTAATGATGGGAATGGTTTATGTAAACGGAATTAAAATGAAGTAAAGCATATTATTTGGTAAAATAAGAATAAATAGTATATTGAATTTATCCGTGTGTTACAATAACATATGATAGAATGATGTGAGTGAATAATGGTTTGGACAATCGAGAGAAAAGAATGGGTACAATTGATTATGAATATGTATGTAGTTGTGCCAACGGTACAGTACTGTTGAGAGTCAGAAAATTTGATTGATTATTGACAGAGTAAGTTGTTTAATATATTTAGAACTGGGATAAGAGTATTTTATTAGAATATGCTTAATTTTGTAAAAAGAATTGCTAGGAAGTTTTTGTAATGTGTAAGCAGCCATGCCTTTTTAAGGTATGCCTATAAATAAATAAATATATGCTGTGCACATTGGCCCGCCAGTCAGTTGCTCGGGGAAATTTTGGCCCGTGATAAAATCTACTCGCCGATGGCTGCACTAGACCAAACCGCCGCCACCAGACGGTAATTCAGAACTTCCCTTCAATACACTGAAAACCTTTTTCCCCGCTATGTCTCGCGTCCCCTCTTGTTTTGCAAAAATCTTTTATATATTCGAGGGGGTCAACAATATGGTATACATCTATCTCATTCTGAAACGCGGGAGTAAGTTCGTGACCTTTTCTCGTTAGTGAGAAAATCTCAACTTACACAATTCTCAATCACAGAGCGCATAACTGAATGGAGATATACGCCCGAAGGTATGATAAGCACGGCATGAGAATCATTCACATCATGAAACAACATTAATGAGCAGCCTCATTCACAGAACGGAAATGATGTGTAAAATGAATATTTGTTTATATTTATTGGTGAAAGTATTCAGTATAATGGGGCCATACGGAAAAGAATTCAGTATGATGGCATTCCCAATCATGTTTCTTCGTCTTCTTCATCGGATGACGACGACAGAAGTAAATCATCCATACCAAGTGCTTTTATCACTTCCATCATTGTATCAACAGCCAACTTTTGTCGTTCCTCACCAAACGACATCTGTGAGAGCGCACAACGCACCTGAACAAACGTGAATAAAGAGAAGAGCGGAAAATGAATCTCAAGAGGAGTTTCATTTAAGTCATTGTTAAAGATTGAATCGATTTCATGCATAGAAGATGCGATGAAATAATTTCAAAAGTCAGTCAAGATACAGTATGGGGATCGTTAGCCTTTATGCAAAAGCATTCGATGCTGAAATGAGCCGGACCGTATGTCACCACACTGATAAATGAATAGCAGATTAATGACAAATTAGACTGGAATTAGCTCAAAAAATGTTTAGCTAAATGATTATTTCTATATTATTTCCTCTCGATTATACTACAAAAAATAAGGACAATTTTCATTTGCACATTATTAGTAATTTCATTTTACCCGATCCACTTTTGCAACCAACTGATTCATTTCACAGTCATTGGATGTCGTCATCATATTCGTATCTTCAGCAATTAAATTGTCAATCATTGATTTAGTATTTGCTACATCACATGGTTGACTATCCATCGAAATGCTTTTCTCTTTTACATTTCCGTGCCCCACTTCTGACAACGAATGAGCTGTGTTGCTGCTAGTTTCAACGCTACACGTTGGATGTTGCATCGCCTCAGTACACTTCACGTCATTCAATTCTAAACTGTTGAAAACTTGTTCGCGTTTCACTTCCTGATCTTCGCTTAAATCATTTTCAGCACTCATAAATTCACCGAATTCTTCATCATCTCCCAGCGGCTTCGTGCCTTCTTTATACTGCAAATCAACTTGTTTTTTAATGACATATTTTTTTAAAATTCGCTTTTGGGAACGCAGCATTCCTGATAAATAAAACGAGATTGAAGAACGTCGCAAAGACGTTAAAAAAGTAGATTTCGTGATGGATGCCTACTAAGTGAAATATCTATGCAAACATCTTTTTCGTATTCAGTGAGTAATTGGATAGGAAAGGGTATAATTTTGAAGAAAGAATTTTTACAGAAGTGGAAGCTTGTTGATTGTTATTTGATGAACTGCACTTTCCATCAAATTCATTATTTATCTTTTCATCATTAACTTTTGCTGTTAAATGAGACATTTCTTGTTTCGTCACTAAACTGTGCGAATTATTCTCTTTCAACACTCTGTTGATCCATTCGGCTGATTCGAGCACCTAAATTGAAAGAGATATTCCATTTTGTGAGTATCATCAAATTAATTAGATAAGAATTAAATATATAAATTTTGGATTATTTACGCGATGAGCAATACCACACCGGATCATAAAAGAAGCTAGAAGGCTTAAGCTTGGTACAGGTATGAAGCTAACTGATAGACGCAAAAGTATGCAAATGACTACATCTATATGCATAATGTATACCTAAAAAGTGTTCTACGGAAACTATGCAAGGTTAATCACAAATGTTGCAGAATACTGCACAAAGATAGAATGACTGTGATAACCTGCCGAATACGATCTATACCATGAAGTTCAGCGTATTCTTCCAATTCCAAAAGCGTCTCCTGAAGCAACAATTCATTCTATTATCATCAGCAACAACAGCCTCATACATTAAACTACACTCTCATGAATCCATCGGATTCGGTTTTCAGTTATGATAAATTGTAAGAATAGGTACGGTTTATGAGAAACTTGCACTGCTCTCTTATTGTTAGGCACTCGCAATTAGGAACTGTCTTAAAACAGTTCTATCGAATCAGGATGAAATTTTGTCTGCAATTAACACTTACAAAAAAAGCCAATTTAACAACTTCAAATATTCAGAACAAGAAGATGAACAGTGTGAGGTTGTCAAACGCAAACTAGCTTCATTGCTTTACGGTTAAATATGCGGAATATAATAATCCAAAAACCCGAAAAACAACAGAAGCAAACATAAATATAATCACTTGATCTGGATTAAGTTCAATTAGTTCGAACTGCTCCATGACGCAGAAGTTCGTCAGTAATTCAGTCCATTCAGCATCTCGTTCTAATCGATCGCAAACCATTATCTTAATACCAGAAGATGAATATGGATTTCATAAGACAAACTGTAGATGTGCTGGGCATGAGCTACTTTAACTGTAAAGCGCCGTTTGATTGCTTACGTAACATAGCATCACCTGTACATCAGCTTGCCACAAATTCAGTTTTTTCTTCAGCTCTTTCAGCGCTTCCAAACTACCATCGAATTTATAAATGATCGCACCAATTTGCGGTGTGGCCAAGTTATCCCCGTTGCAGGATGATAAACTTTGAAGATCATCAACACAGTGCAGATTTATAGTAACGGCATAGTACTTGTTATTAATTAACAACTCAGCTTTGCTGCTTGACGTAGACGCTGATTTATCACCTGAATAATGCCTTCGTTTGACAGTTTAAATAGTTATCAGAAAATTAACTTGTCCTCTTAAAATATCAAAGCAGTTATTATTGTTTCGAAGGTGTTTTCACGGGTTATCAGCAAAAGTACCAAATATCGATCGGCTGGCTTACGAAAATTAACGCTAATCAACCACGTCATTAGTGAACGACCCACCAATAAGTGCATCAAATACTTTATGATCATGATCTGCTATTAACAGAGCAGTTGAACGCAAATTTTCCTTATCGTTCATCCTTTCATAAGCACCTAAAAATAAGTGAATAACGCACTGCACAGTCACCCTTCTTTTATTCGAAAATTTCGAATTTAATGTATGATTGCGATTCCGGCACTTTCACACTGTAGTGGACCCCATCCTGCGGTAACCCCTTAACAGCAACGCTTAGGCCTATGCTGATTGTGAGGTTATCCCTTTTCTCTCTTTCGATGATCGTGCACATATACAACGAAATGAGTTTTGCTGTTGAGCGGTAACCCGTTAACAGCAACGCTTAGGCTTATGCTGAGGCTATCCCTTTTCTCTCTTTCGATGGGCACATGGGGTGGGGTCCACTACAGTGCAAGTACCCCGATTCCTTTACGATAAACAAAGAATCAACAACGAATAGAAAGATGCCACGAAAACATAACAACGAATGCAACAGTAGTAGCAAATCAATCATACCCACGGCCATATAACAAATTTAGGTGAATACGAAAAGTCAGATCAATAAGACGGAGACAAGAGTAACAACTGCATCCGTTTACGAGAACAATATGCACATAACCATCCATTTCTAATTGTTCACTGAACTCCTCTCCTCTTCATAATGATAACTTACTGCTGGGGATATACACACAATTCGCCAAATACGAACCGAGTGACAGTATGCCAATCAAGTGAATTCGCATTTTTAATTGATAGATGTTAAAAAATGTGAATTTCTTACCCATCCAACGTGAACCAATCCGGACAATTTATATGTCATTTTGTAGCGCAAATCCAGGAGAATAAAATATCAGGTATAGAGTGTCCAGCAATAAGGATATATTTGAGTTTTTCAATTTGGTTTGAAACACAAAAATTGAAAAAAAATAACTGAAACTGCTATTCACCTGACATGAAAAATTTATAGCCAAGATGTGCACCATATTGTAGCCCAGATTCAGTACTTTACAACGATGCAATAAACTTTGACTGAGAGTGTACAGTTGCGACAGTTATGCTATTTGGCATGATCAGTGGTGATTTTTAATCGTCATAATTTGTATATATTGGAGTAACCGAATTTTTTTCGGCCTCAGAAAAGCAATCAGCGAAGAAGATGTACATCCGGAATTGTAGAAATGAAATAAACTTTCACTGGTAATGAGAATTACGATAAGTGGTGACGTTCAATAGTCACAATTCAACAGCCATTCATCCGCCATAGTGTTCATTGCCATGTTGGGATCCAACAATGTTCACATGCCGATTGAAGACGTTACGGTGTCGTTAATAACGCTTTTCAAATGCTCTGAACTAAATGGGCTCCTAGTCCTTTTTTTCTTCCCCAGTCCTTTTCCAATGCCTATTCTGGTGGATGATGCATCATTCCTCAATAATCCTTACTCATTTTTATAAACCCTCACTGTTTCAAACTCTTTCATTCAAAAAATTGTCTTCATAGCAGTGCCGTTGGTTCATCAATTAAAGTATACTTTATTTAAGGTTCACCCATACTCTACCACGGGAACGATGACGTACAGGTGTAGAAAATTTTCAAAAATTAGAAGCGAAGTAAAATAAAAACAAAGTATATTTCAAAACTTTATTCCTGACTATACGCCTGAAATAATTAGTTTTTGATTCACATCATATTGATTAACGATTATCCTTTCTTTAATGATCCATTGAAAACATATCTGGGAAATGTTGGATGCAACAGCCAGGAAGCCTCGGAGTGATGATGAAGGCAAAATATACTTCAGTAAATTGAAGTCTTTCTAAAGTATACTTTCAGAAGTTTTTTTTAGGACTGGAAGTCAAGGGATAGAGCCGAATTAAAATTATGATAGAGTGTAAATTTTTAGGTGACCTGACAACACTACCCTACAGCACTACTACACTCAACACGAACGGCTACATCGAATGCGTAATCTGATCACAACATTTGAATGATTAAACGACATATTTCGAGCGTGTTGCTGTAAAACGCACCCTTGGCATCCGGGTGACTTGCCTACGTTCTCTTATATGGGTGGCCTGTTGCATCAATAGTTTATGCCATAGCCAATATCGTCAGCAAACTCAAAAAAATTCATCGCTAAGAATACTCAGATAAAACTCAGAGTTCAGTAAGTGGATCTAATCTTGATGGTCACGATCATCGGTGAGATAAATATCAAGAATATACAGTAGTGATAAAGTTAACGCTAATCACGACAACGCAAAAGGATGGAACTGCGACGGAATTTTAACACGTTACAGGCGCCTGGGAGATGAAGGTTGNCAAGAACGTTGAAAACACTTGAATTTGGTCGAAAATGCTGATGCAATATGGAGCGATTGATTTGTTCAAAACTGATTAATGTATTTCAGAAGAAGGACATTTAAGGCTAACATAGTGAATTGTTGAGGCATAACTTAATGGAGAAAATGATATACAAAACAATGAATTTGGGATCTGAGAAGGAAAGTACAAGAAGTGATGAATACAAGAAGCGTTGCGTGCTGTTGATGGAAATAATTTTGTTGCTATTCGCGATACTCGCAATCATTAAAATTTTGTACAATTAGTAAATATTTATCAGTAAAAACCACTCGCTGTTACCAGTAAATGTTTATTTGAAATAATGAATAGAACAATATTATTATGGCGGTGGATATTTAATACAATGAATGAGATGCTAAAGTTCAATCTTGGTCAATGATAAGCTTAATACAATAAACAGATTAGTAATGGAATAGGAGTTCGACGCCAATCTTGAAGACCACTCATGGGCTAACAACACGTTGGATTGATTATGAAAGTTAGGCTTCGATCTCTGTACCCGACTCTCCTTCTGTCGATTCGACTGCCTTCTTTTATGGCCATTGTTTCGTCTTCCATTCTCACGTTCCTAAAAGATCTTCTGATACAATTTCTCAGCTTTCATATAGTGCCTTTGTTTTGGCTATTAGCATGCATTTTATCTGAATATGCAATAAAGACGTTGTATTTCCCATATGTGCATTTTTTTATGTTTTGATTTGCACTTTTCATCAAAATGATGTTTTGAGAATTCTAAAAGAACAATGTTTACAAATTGATAACAATTTGATATCACTGCAATTTTGCAGATAGAAATTGAGATAACGCTTTAAACGTAGATATGAATCCTATGACGATAGTACATATCTGTGATTAAAATGCAATAGCAGGATCCAGATCTGGTAGTGAAATTTACCGCTGGAACCATGTTCGTCACTGACTGCGCCACAGTTTGGCGCAAAACAGTTTAGATTTGAGTCCAGAAAGAGCATTTTAAGTGAAATGTTGCATTCTAAGTTCTTAAAAGCCTTGATGAGATTTTCACCAAATTTTCATAGTTTTCTTCCCTCCGGTTTTCGCGAAACCCCTTTTGCACTAACTTGAATGCTTCCCACATGTCTTTCTCCTTCCCATGAAAATAATATCTCACCACAAAATACACAATTGCACAGCGCAAGCAACTGCATAAAGGCCAGTGAGTGCTGTGAGGAATACAAGACCGCAAGCCTGTTCTGACACGTAAGTGTACCTTGAAACTAGAGCTAATAAACGATTTTAGTCATTATACCCTTTATCAGTGACCTAAACTTAATGAAGAAATACTACACTGATATCGGAAGCATTTTGGCTCTTGACCAATGTCGTTATTCTTATTGCTACCTCAACAAACGAGTATTGTTAATATTTATTTATCAATTTAATTATTGCTAATATCATTCAGAAATATTAACTAACGATAAAAGAGAAGAACAAGGTCGGCAACATATTTGTTTACAGCTGCTTCACGCACTGATTGTTCTGGATTTGCAACTGAGAGCAGCAGTAACGGATCGAAGTTCTGCGTGTGTGAAGCGAAAGATTAGGAGTAGATAATATTCTTCCCTAGCACCTATAACATATAAACAGGTATCAGAGTGTGTATGATATAATATCACATAATAAACATGCTTCTTGAATACTAATCGTCATATTCAATACGAACATAATTGCATCGCTGAAAATGCCATTCAAAATCGCAATTATGGGTCGGTTGGCCGGCCTTCGCTGACAGAGTAGCAAGCTCATATCACTAAACTATATTATGCATGCATATAATAACATATACTCATGCTTTCAATAATAACATCAAGTCACGTTTTTTGCCACCTACATATTCATTTCAACAACCGCTAGCGACTTCTTTTGATGCCTCACTCCCACTCAGCAAAACAATGCAGTTGTCATTTATCTTTATTAATCGCTTGTTTTTTTTCTTACCTGAATAAGACACCGTGATTATTATTATCTTTCATGCCCTCATTTTTACACAGGAGCCCATTCACCGATCGCTAGTTTCTAAGAAGAGTCATTTCATTCAAATTATGAACATCAAAATGGTGCTTCAGTCAGACTCGGTCCACCATTTAAATTGATCGCCATTCTATTCAGCTAATGATAATAAGAACTGAAATCCAAGAATAATATCTTCTTCAAGCTTCAAATAGAATCAATATTAATTCTGATCATTGCCCACAGCGTTTATTGATATTGTACTTATCACTGAACAAATTAACTAAAAAAACTAATCTTTCATTGAAAACATACCTCTGTGTATTGTGCTATTAACCCCGATCATCCAACTTTCTTTAAAAGAGTGATTTTAGAGAGATTTTCTTTTGATAAGGAACTGAATTTGACACTAAAGATTATTCATTAACGAAATTGTCACTTCATTCAAAAATGATATTGGAAACAATTTTCATTGGCATGTCCGTACATGCGGCATTCTCGAGCTGTAAGTGATTGATCACTGTACAATTATTCTTTTTTGAATCAATCAATGAAGTCACATCTAAAGTATATACGGAAATATAAGTGATAGATTTTCGAATGGACGGTGGATTTGCAAATTCCTATTGAGCATTTTTGCTTTTTTTTTCACTGAGTCAAACAATAAACCTAAAAGAGTTGACAGAGAAAAACTTTCAGCATCTCGATGCTTTTACTTGCCAAATATCGCACTTAACGGTGGAACCTATGACGAGTTCAGCGCCAACGATATCAAGGTGGAAAATTTTCTGGAACTTTGTTGAATCCATTTTCCTAATAAATGAATTTCTTATAATAAAACTGTGGTTTTTATGAAAGGTGGATTCAAAAATGTCAGCTGAACACTAAGAAGGATGACAAATTATTGCTGATTAGTTTATAAAAAATAATTCATTAGTAGTTATTCAATAATGTTTTCAATATGGTTATTTGATCGCATGAAAATGATTCCTGTAATAAAATTGACGAATTCTTGACAGCAAGTTTCTTCATCAATTGATCCTTTCCTGAATTTCTTCTGAATTGTCGCTAAGAAGTGTCAAAGGAGGAGGGATTTGCAGTCATGAAAATTGTTGGAGGAGGGAATGGCGGTCTACAATGTATTTTATATGAACGCTCTTTTATAGCGTTGTTGCATTGCATGTGCTAAAGACCATTGCTGTTTGGGTTACTCATTCAGTAAAGCACAAAAGCGATGCTATATGAAGTCGGCTGTGTCCGATTCGACTGTTAACAATGATATGACCAGTGGTGTCAAAGCGAACACACATTCAGGTGAATTCATTACAGTTTTTAATAACTATCGTTTTTAACTTCCCTTTTTACAAAAGTTCTTTCTGTCACTGAGTACAACACAAAAGCAACTATCTACGATAATTAACTTGACATCATGGTTTGTTGAAACATCGTGATCATGGATCATAAAGTTTTGACAAACCATGGAAACACTTGCACATGCTGGATGGATTATTACTGTGTATATAGAACAACTCATTTGTGAGCAACAGTGCACATAATATGTTGCGTCGGGGCATTAGGTAAAACCTAGATAATGCAATAGTTCTAACATAGCATAGGAACCGCTGAAACTGAAGCAATAGTTCTAAGATAGCATAGGAATTGCTGAACAGGTTGCGTTATGTCCCTTATTGAACACCATGCGTGTGTTTATAATTAAACTCGATTTACAAATGATGTACATATTGTTTCTGAGGCCGTGATGAAGTATTATATTACTGACGGATGATTCCTTAAAAAGTTGAGTTAGATACTCGTAAATAGAATTGATCCGAACCAATGATGTCGTATGAGTTAATTTTAGGACAAGGAGCGTTTCTGAGAAACGTTGCTATTGAAGGAGGTGCTGCAGCAGCTGTTCGTTTACGAGAACCACAAGAGTGTCAGCAATATTGCACTGGTGAGAAGATGATGTTGAAACGCAACTGAAATTTGTTGCACTTGAAACTGGTCTTGTAAATGAGACAGTCCGAGTCTGCTGAGTATTGTTCGTGAATAAATGCTAGTGGTTTCTTTTAGTGAACTTTGAGAAATTGACAAATTTCTCGATTTTAGAATCGAAACTGGCGTTAGGGTGAAAGAAAGGCATCAGTTGACGCCGTGTGGCAACGTTCCAGAATTGGAGTATAGCAGAGTGTTGTGCGGAGACGGGGAGAATCGGGGACATTTTGGGGATGGGGACAGTCCCCGAAAATGGCCGAGACTCTAAAAAGGTCAGGGACGGGGATTCGGGGACTCCCCGCACACCACTAGTATATCATAACCATACAGTGCTTCGAGAACATCAAGAAATCACCCGGATGCAATTTAGCACCGTCTGATTCAGTCAAGCTAGGCTTATGCCGAGTCTCTCAATTGGGCTTAAGCTCATTTTGAGGCTGAAATTGGACTGAATTGATCCGGCTGAGTTTTCCAGTTTGCTGCCATGCTTCCCTTTCATCTTAACCTTAAAAGCTGGCGAGACAAACGGAAGACGAAACTGAATGATTTCACGTTGGAAATGAAGTAACAAGCTTTCAATGAATATCCTCACCGAACGGACACATTCAATGCAACTACACAAACCACTGCACATCACCAGTGAATAAACTAACCTTATTCCAGTGTATGGCATTTATTCATGGAGTCCGCCGAATCGCGATGACCAAACTGCTGATGGTTATTGTGCGTGCATGACACGGATCCAGTCTCTTGACTACTCATTCGGCTCTCATTCAGCCATCTTTCCACCTGTTTCATCATTGAATTAATTCATCCAAACGAATAATATGTCCTAATCAGAGTCATTTCTATAAATTGATCATTGCAAATTGTATAAATGCTTTTCAATACAACAAATGTAATTTTATTCAGAAATGATTGTACGAGTGTAACTTTAACACATGAATATTTACGTAACGGCTCATGCCACATATCATTCTCGTTCACAGAAGCAATATCACAAATTCATCATCTGCATTTTACTTGAACACGAGAATGCATTCCAAAAAATGAGATGAGACACGTTGATTAAGCTGACAGATGTTTTTCTCCAGTAAAGATGATCTGATGATAGTTCAGACCATCACCTATGCGAATAGCACAAGAAATAATCATCTTTCCTTTAAGTAGAGCTGGTCGGAACATAGAATTATGAAAACAATTGAATGAGAAGATAATACAAAAGTAAAGAGGTAAAAGAATAATTATGATATAGATATTTGGTGACCTTATTGTCATGCGCATGTATAGTGATCATAAATTATAAGTGCTAATCAAAAAGAAAAATAATCCTTCGATTGATAAAGATGATACATTGAGTGGAATATTTTTGTTGTGAGCCTCTTTTGTTTTTCATCGTTATTTGTTCATTTGTGTGCCACTTACGCATATTGAGTATTGGAGTTGGAGTAGGAGCCGTAGTTGGAGCCGAGAATAAGCGAATTGCATCCGAGAATTAGAAGATTCGGTTTTGGAATCAAGGCCGAACTTCTGAAAATTCGGAGTTGAATTTGGAGCTGGGTCAATTTTTTTCAAGTTAGGCATCACTGGTTAGTAAATGTATCCAATCTTGTTTCTAACACAATTTCCGTTTTACAGATGTTTCCCAATTATATTTTCCAAAATTTTATGCACTCCAAGACGTTACTCTTATTGTTAGAATATCGTCATTCATCCACCATTCACAACAAGGCAACTTATCAGCAGCAGCATCAGCGTACGCAAAACGCTCCGGGTTCAGTTTGTACTCATTTCGAATTTTTCTTTTATATCTGAATTTATCGATATTTTGTCTGACATTTGAAAGTGTAGTTATTAGTTAGAGATACACACATTGATGCATTTCCAGTGACATTTGATTGAGTTGCTTCTTGCACTTATGGACCACTGAAGCCATCATGAGGTCTCCTTTTTTTAATGGCAATTTTATGTATCTTAACTTTATAAATTTTATTATCTTATTTATTGACTGTGATAACTGAAGGGATCAATAACACTGTGCAACGGAAAAAATTGCGTAAAGCTGACACGGTCATTCTCTGAGGTAGTTTTGTTAGCAAAATCCGGAAATGAGACTTTTTTCGTCGTTATGAACCGTTTTCTTTCCGATTTGTCTAGAGATGGTGCAAGCTTTTGCATAAAATACTGAAAATGCCGCAGATTTTGGCAAAATCGCTTTCTCGAGCAGTTTTTTTTTTAAGGTAGAATCGGAAAATGAATTCAGTTTCTGTAAGTGTTCCTCAGTCACTGGAAATTCGTATTGAAGGTATTTAATCAATTCTCAGGAACAACATTGTTCCTCAGGATATTTATTCAAGATTGTTATCAGTAAAGGATTCCTGCATACGTGTAAACAGTGAATGGTACTGTGAAATCGTACTTGATTGTTTCGCAATTGAGTTTGGAAAAAACGTGAGTTACGAGGAAAGTGTGTATATTCTTGATCAGAGATTCGCATTTTTAGAGAAATAGACTTGAAGTTGTTTTGTTTAGAACAATGAAGTTTTAGAAGAGCATTATGTTATGCTAATTTAACGTGATCAGAATTAGTGATCAGTTATCACAGAAATACTTGCTGGTGTTATCATTATGATTAATGGTTGAAGTTCGCCGTTGGTGCCATTTAATGAAACAAACAATTGCATAGCAACGACTTGGCAGCGAAATAATGACAACAAAATGAATGCAATTTTAAGAAGACAGCAAATATCCGCATGATATTTTTGCAAATATTCATAGTTGACATAATGAAACAACAACAAACGAATATAACAATATTATTAACGAAGGAAATCAATTAAATGCAATTGCTAAAACACGTAATTGGTTTTTGTTCCATTAATTTACGAAGTATTCATTTCTTTATGAGTTGAGTGCGGTCAGTTAACCAATATTACCAATCTGTTAAGTTTTATGAGTCTCGTAATCGACTTTAATTTAACCTTTCCTAGAACCCCTTATTTTATTGCGTAAAAAAAGCATCATACAGCTTGATGATAGTTTGGCTCGAGACTCATAAATCAGTTAGATCATCACATTCACTGCTTTTAGAGTTCAGATGGATCATGCTTTTGCAACTGCTCTCCATAATCAGTTGCTTGCGATCCAACGAACGTGTCGTAATGCTCCAATATTTCTTCCATTGAGAGTTTGCCGTCCTTCAAGTACTATCATTAAGTGAAGAATACTCAAGATATGTTCAAAGTGAAAATGTAAACAAAACCATTCATTTTCTCACATCAAAATCCTGAATTCATTTTTTTCCATGCCATTTTTAATGTGAATGTATCAATGCAGCTGCCAGATATATTCAGATCAAAATAATTTACCATCATTTCTTCTTTTTAATAATGATGTTGTAACAATGTTTTCGAGTTATTACAGATTTATATCACTGAAGCCAGTGAAGTATAGCTTTGTTTTGGATGAATTTTCAATAACTGACTTTATTATCATCCGCAATACCGATGAGGTGTTTTGCTTCGGCTTCTGCATGGTCGAATCCAACAGGCATTATCCAGTCACGCATTTCATCCTCAAAATACACTTTATCGCTAGGTTCATTATCGGTGGAATAATTATGGTATGGACGATGAAACGAACCTGATTCAATTTACCATCACCATCTTTATCACGATGTTCCTTGAACATATCGCGCTCGCTTGCCACCCAGTCAGGTTCTTTTCCATTTAATTCTGGATAATCCTCTGGTCGATACATATCGCCTGTAATTATCAACATTTATATTACTACTACTGTTTTCTGCATCATTATTATTTTTATTTAAATTATTTTTATTCCACTTAGCAATATCATCATCCATTCATATCACCATTTCTTGATTTCGAGTTTTATGATGTGATCAACGCCAATATTAATGAGATAATGAATGAATGAATAAGTCACTGTAATGACCAACTTGCTTACCAATATATTCCTCCAAATCAACGAATCCATCTTTATTTTTGTCGATATCTTCAATCGTTTCCTAAAAGATGATCACCAATAAGAGGATATTTGTACTCAAGCAGTAACACTATTCTATATTATTGTAAAATTTAATATTCAATCAAAATCAATTCAGTTTGTTTAAAGTGCATTACAAACATTAGGATGATAAATTTTTCATGGGAAAAATGAAACTCTGGAAAGTCAAGACCTCAATCGCACTACTTGTGTAATTAGAAGCAGAACTATAAACTAGTGAATTCCGACATTCGGATTCCGACCGAACAATTCGGAAGGTCGGTCGGAATATTGAAATGTGAATTCGGTCAGATCCCGACCGACTGAAATTTCGCTCGGGTGCCATCACTACCATAGATTCTGATCGAACAGTCATCGTTATTACTAGTGATGGCATCCGACCGACGGTTTTTTTTTGGCATCCTCAGCTCATGGATCTTCCAATTCGTATAGATGGTGAGGAAAGGGTATAGGAGAAGTGAACCCATGGAAATGGTTGGGGATGACGCAAAAATGCTCGAGATTGATTATTAAAATATATTGGGGAAGTGACGCACTGCAACGACAATATCGCGCATGTGATCGCAATCTTCTGGATGCATGAAACAGCCGTATTCAGTTCGATCGAGAACTCCATTCGAATCGTAATCAGCAGCCTTCCATCGTCGTTCGTCGCGAGTAATCATTTTTGCGTATTCCGGAGATAGCTCCTGGCCTTCACCATCCGGAGAACCGTAAACCATCTCTCTGCAAAATCAACAACCGTTCACTAAAAATAAATTATACTTATCACAAAATGAAAAAAATATTCAATGAAACGCCTACACTAAATAAGTCCAATCGTTTACCTGAGTTTGCATGCAGCCCAATTATATCGAGACAGTCCCACAGCACAATACGAAATATTATCTTATTTGGACGAATTATCAAATAAACTTGATATAGAGAAAGCGTTACGTAACCTGTAATCTTTCCACTCGAGTTTTCCTTCTTTTATTTTATCTTCATTGTAGTTTTTCCATGTTCTGTCCACATCGTTATTAACGTATCTCTTCTGCATGAATTCGATATGATCTTTAAGTTCCTTTTCAACAAGAAAACCATCACCATCGCTGTCCATCTTCGGAAAAAGTTTTCTGCAACCCATCACAATTCACTTCAGTCACTAGAAACTCTCAACAAATACTGCTCATTCAAATTCCACGTGCATCTGAATACATCAAAGAACATTACTAACGAGAGTCTCTCCTTGCTTAATTCAGGTGTTAAATCGTCATATTCTGCAGCCGTATCCTTTCCCAAAAATGCTTCATGATCGTATTTGCTGTCATGTTCACCACCCTGGAAACACATTCATTATTATTATCACTCTACAGTTATCATCATCATCAACACTGTTGTTTCATAATAAGTGTTCACTGATTTTCGAAGTTAATTTTCACAGCTTTTTGTCGTTCATAAATTTCCGTCTTTTTTTGAAGGATGATCATATGGATGAGTTCCATTTGGAGGTTCGAAAAAAAGATCAAGATGCTTGCAAAAATACATAAAGGATTATTATCACAGGTTAACTCAACCCGAGCAGAGAGAAGGGAATAAGGTTTGAGAAACTGACTGAATGAAGAAATGATTACCTTATTGTGATCTTTATCACTGAGAGGATCACCGTGTTCGGCAAGTGCTAACGATGTTAACGAAACCAACAATATTAGCAATTTATGACGCATACTCGATAGAAAAATGAACAATTACGCAATATTCAAATTTTATTTATAAGGCACCAACTGAGAGCTCTGAAAACAAACAAAATTCAGTTAATCGACAAGTCACTTTTGTTGAAGATGAAACGACATTGTCACCTTTTAACAACTAACAATTACACACAATCAACCACTCAACATAGTGCTGTCCATAATGAGTCATGATGCTGTATGACGGAAGACGTACGTCGAATCGAAATATTCGCTTGACATCTTTTTGATAAAAGTACAGCTAAAGGCACAGTGCTATACTTCTGGGGTGAAATATATCGGTACAGGTTTGTCCAAAACACGGCACATATGAACTTTTGATGCACGGTTTGGAGAGTGACACTGCTTAGTAGTGAGGTTTATTTTCTTCCTGAGCAGCAGTCTATTCGGAATCAATCGTCTGTCGAAAAGTAAGCGATTTTGGGGCATTTTCATTCGCGTGCTGAAGACCGTGGACACTGTTGCTTAAACGAACTGACTGCACAATGCCGTTTAGCTGTTTGTATGCAAGCAAACGTGAGAAACGAAAACACTGTTGATGAATGATTATCAATTGTTGAGTGAACAAAACACTTGTGAACGAAATGAATTAATTATTTGCAATCATTTACAAATCGCTTCGTACCAATTGCAACCTGGAAGGGATCGCATTCAGCTTCAGTTTATACCCAATGATCACCAATCAGCCTAGAAAAGTTTTAAAATATCAAGTGATTTTGGAACAAATGATATCTGCGAAATTCAGCTGCTGGTGAGGGAATATTTTGAAAGTAGCTATCTTATATTGGCATGCTGACTTGTCTCAGCCACATTATTCCAAGCAGATTTTTTCAGGGGTCAGGAGCAAGTTTTGGAAAAATGCTAAATGGATGTTCTCTAATGAACTTATGAGAAACTGAAAAACGGAAAAGATTTCAACTGATCTTGAAAATGTGATCTATTAAAAATGTCACAATTGATTTTTCAATCATAATAAATGGTTGATGCAATTTCGGCTTGAATTTGGACTGCTAAAAGTGCATTGATGATACGAATGATTGACAGAAGAGTAACATTCTTGGTGGCAGCGATAAACTCTAGCTGTCATCACGTGAATTTCACAGGTTGACAACAGGTTCAGCTAGACAACTATGTTTTCACATTCTTGCACTCCGGGCTTCTCAATGACCTCATGACAGACAGCGATTCCTCCTGCTCCTCTGGCAATTTCTTACATTTTAGTGAAGAAAATCAACGAATTCATCCAATCATTTTGTTAAGAATTTTTCTACGATATCAATGGAATCATTTCTTTTTGCTCCCTCAAACATTCACTTTGAAAAAATTATTGAATGACTAAACGTTTGGACAGTAAATTTTAAAAAATTAATGAACAATGATTTGCCAATCTCCTCAATTCCTCCTCAACACTCTCAAATTCCTTCGGGCGGAAATTTCCCTCTTATAAGACTCACTGATGTAGACAGTTCTAGCTGATATCTTTTCAGCTTTTCGTTGAGCAAAGTAGCAATAATAACGACAATAATGATAACAATCACAAAAATTCTTACTGATAACGAGGTTGATGGAAAATTAAAAATCATAGCGTAAAGGAACATTGATTGTCAATTGCTTGAAAAAAAAGATTACGGTTAGAGATAGAAATTGATCAATTGAAACTAAAGATGGGATTGCGCTGATTCATGAAATCAGATAAGGAAGGGAACGTTTTAGGAATCGAAGCATGAACGATTGAGATTTGAAGAGTTCATTGAGGCACGAATGAAGAGCGGCATCAGCAATGCTGAGAGAGGACTGTTCGAGTAGTATATATGAATGCGTATAAACGACAATCAATGTATATGTTTGTGTAGAGATCTGCATCATTTCTAAAGCACCTCTACAACTGCGCTATAGAAGAAAGTATTTGCTGCTGTTGATTGAGTCGGTGAGAGGCTGCGCCTAATCAACGAACGGACGAACCTAATGCCACGTGTACTAACTGCATTCTTTCTATGTCGGTTCACAAATCTCTATCATTTTCGTATTACTGTAAAATAAGATTGGTATAATGCAGGGATAAAGAAGAGGAAACGAAGACGTAGGAATATTATTAGTGGTGAGGATAAGAAAAGAATATGTCTGAGAGTATGATGAACAAACTGTAAATGCTCTTCTGTTCATAGTTCTGACAGCACAAACGGCCGGCAGCTCGATAGGTAGTAATGAACATTAATAATCGAAAGATCCGAATCACATAGGTCAGCAACTTAGACTGGATGTGTTAGTTGTTTCAGATAGAATATTTCTGAGAGAAAAAAGTTAAGAAGGGATTGAACTGCTTCGGTTAAAAGATTGCAAAAGAAATTCAGTTCAACGGATGCGCAATAAACTCCCGATATACCAAGTTCGTTCTAATAAATACAACCTTTAGATTGACTCACGAAACAATAATACGACAATTATGCTCATAAATTGTGTGCAAGATATTCATTCCCACAATATTGCTCGATAATATTTCTTCAAAATCTTTCTTCGATAAAAAGTCACCAAAATCATTAAGCATGTCAAATAGGGTACAAATGCAGTACACCATAAATGGACACAACCCTTATTAACTCACTATGATGCGATCACTTAACGTTATCATCGTTTTTTCGTACGAAAATTCATGGAACACACTGCTGTCGACATTTAGTAGTATTATAATATGTCAGGAATAAACAGTGCATTCTCATTTCAGCATTATCATTACTGAATTGAATATTCATTTCAGCTACTCAACAATTCATTATTGTGCATTTTATGAACATGACACAAACTCATACAGGTTTTCTACGCACTGTTTTGCAGTATATATTGTTACTACATATCTCGTGCATACGAACCTATGCGTGAATTTGAAATGTGATTGTGGGAGAAGGGAACGTATGAACATTGTGACTACAAAACACAATTCATATCGTAAAACAAATGGCTCAATACTATTTAGACTCGGGCAATTTTACGATTTTACAATATTTTTAGCAAACATTTTCGCTTTTGCACGTTCTTAACAAACCCTGACAACAAGCATCACAGACCGTTGCTGCATTGATTGTTCACTAGCACATTAGGCTGATTTGATAGTGGCAAAGCAGTATCGATTTAGTTTTCGTACGCAAAGTTTTTGCAATGAATTCGAAGATGAAACCAAAAAAGACTGCACATTCATAACCAATAATCATACATAAATGATTTATTTCTGATCAAACGATTTATTCGTGTACTTTGTACAACAGTAGTAATAGTTTAATTGAAACATTTTGTAGCATTTTGAAAATCTCGGCAGCAAAAAGTTAGCGATTCAGAAACTAATGCAGGTGAATATAATCCGAATTCNTAAATGATTTATTTCTGATCAAACGATTTATTCGTGTACTTTGTACAACACTAGTAATAGTTTAATTGAAGCATTTTGAAAATCTCGGCAGCAAAAAGTTAGCGATTCAGAAACTAATGCAGGTGAATATAATCCGAATTCGATAGTGAATATTGGATTTCTGATGGATCGGTGATCGATGGAATTTCACAAGTGACATATCTTGGGTTCTCGGTAACGGCAATAATCAGGATAAGCGAACAGCTTTGGTAACTTCTGCACTGCACATTGTTGAACGGCACGGTCAAAATTTCGGCATTCGTTCAGTGGAAGAGTTTTATCAAATTAACTCTCATTAGACATGCATTGAAAGGACGAAACCACTGTCCCTTAAAAACCACCATCACTGCACGGAGCGTTGTAGGAAGACACAACGAAATACACCGAGCTTGGTACCAGGTACAAACAAAGGTCAATGAGAAAATCTGCCGGTTTTTGTTTAGTTAATGGAGAGACAAAATTATGAAGTGATATATTGATCGTCGTAGAGATCGTTCGTAACGTAGAGATTCGAAAGCGCGAGAGATGTAAAAACTGAAAGTCGAAAAAAAGTTGTATCCGGTTGTATCGTTAAAAATTATGAGCTGTGTAACTAGAAAAACCAGTGCGTATTGAGTAATTCCTATCGAATTAAAAGAGTTGTGGAAAGTCTGTTACAACTTGAAGCAATTTAAAACCAATTAATACTGTGGCGATATAACACAATAGGTGAACAAGATTGATTGATGCTTAATTAAGGTGAATATTCTTGACGTATAAGTAACTACTGCAAAGAATCTTTGATACGCTTCAAGATGCATTCTTGATTTGGCAAGTGTGTTGTGTGAAATTCTACTATCAAAGGTCTAACGATAAGATCGTGAGTCGTTACGTGCATGTGTAAAGCTGTTTCACGGTTCTTCTACTACTGTTTGACGCCGCATCTCCTAAATCAGATCAGCTGTTCAACTTCAACAGGATTCGTTTTCCCGCGATCCGTTGCTTTTATCGAGTGCAGCGTGCCAGCTCTAGCACATCGGCGATACGCAGCATGGATTGTTGCTCAGTGACCTACGCCATGTTGTTTTGGATGGATATACACAAAATATATGTATGGAATATAACATATATATGCATGTGTATAATATCTGTGTTATATTCAGAGGAATGTGTGTATGAATAATGTATGTGTGTTACATATTAGACATCTTATAGAAAACCCT